CACTCAGGTTTACAGATCTTTAAAAAAGCCATAGGAAATGCCCCCAACAGCCTCTTTTAGCACTGTCTTTTATAAAACTTTACAAAATGATGGAATTCAAGAACCTTTTCTCTAAACCAGTGGTTCTCAACCTGTGTAACCTCAGGACCCACATTTGTCCTTCGTCATTAAGTTGCGACCCAAGTTGAACTGCAATGGGACGCACAGCATTAGGATACCGCACGTTCTGGTGCGGGCCTAAGAACTGTGGGTAGGAGGTGCATTTTGGAGTACCATTTAAATGAATGGCAACGCAACACACCTCCCACACCAGAATGCACCGTACATGCGATTGCGTGGTACAGCTTAACGCACTTTACTAGTGTGAACGGACCCTCAAAAACACTGCCATACATACACAGTAACAATCTCTCACATTCTGACACACACTCCACACTTTTTAAGGTCCACCCAGTCTCCCTACCTTACAAGAACTGGAGGGGCATGTATGGCTGGAGCTCCTTCGCGTCAATAGCCCCATTCCATCCCACCTCAAGCTGACACTTGGCACCGGGCAGCATATTTTGAATGTCTGCTTGGTGTGAGAACTGACAGTGCTGCACTAGGGGGATGCAGAGGAGCCTCTCACCTAAAATAGTGGAAAGCATGTGGCGACCCACTGAACACGAGGTCACAACCCACCAGTTGAGAACCAAGGTTCTAAACGATACCCCCTTTTTAGTTCTCACCAGAAGCCAAACCTTAACTGCCATCTCGAATCCACATTAAACAGCATGGATGGAGGAATCTCCTTCTGTGCACACTTAGGGGAATTTATGAAAACTGGAGTAGACAGAATCTAGAGCAGTTGCCCATAGTAACCAATAAGCTTCTATCTTCACTTTCTTCATTTAAAAGAGAACTAAGGGGTAAGTGTTTTTCCCCATAGTTCTCTTTAAGGTCACGGGAGGACATATACCAACCTCCTCCCGTGACCCAAAGCTCACTGTATTGGGCTATTGCCCACGGTATACTGAGAGCGCCACAGCCGGGAAGGATCCCGACAATACTGTAGAGATCCATCCAGCTGCGTGGGTGACAGCTGGCTCTGCCTATCCAGAGGCAGAGGCAGAGCCAGCTATGCCCGCCCCCTCCCCTGTTCGTTCCCCCTTTCAGCACTGGAGGATCGGAGAGGGGAAATCCCTGTGGGGAGCGGTGACCGATCGTCACCGCTCGCTGTAGGGAAACTATCGGGAAGTGAGCGGATCGGTGCATGTTTCTGCTCACTTCCCGATCAATAGAGCTGACCTGTGACAGCTTCTTTGTCACAGGTCAGCTCTAACTATGAGGATGAGTGGAAATCCTTTTAAGCTTTGAAATTAAAAGAAAGATGCTGATTAGTTGTCATGCACAGCGGCTTGAGTTTTGATCAATTCCCTGCTTGCCATCTGTCAGAATACAGTGGATGCTGCCACGCCACTAGTGACTGCGACTAGGTGTTGACTGCGACCAGGTGTCTCAAACCCCCTTTCCCACAGAAAATTTTTATTCAGGGGTACGAACTTGTGTGCAGGGGTACTAACAATTGGTAATTGTGTGCAGGGGTACTAACAACTATGTCATAATGTAAAATAGTGTGAACTATTATTGCTACCACAGCTCTCCTGCTACCTGTTCTTGATTTAGCCTTACTTTATGTTAAGATCAGTGACAGTAATGAGGCCATCAAAATTTTGCTATGTATAATCTGTGTACTGCTGGCTTTCTGATCTGCATAGCTTCTGTATGGACTAGATGTAAGAGAATGAATATGTTTTTAGAAGGTTTTTTAGTATTTGTCATTTTTTTATGTCATATTGCCAGATCAAAGAAATGGGAAAGTGCAGGGCAAAAAAGTCAGAAAGTCAGTTGTTTGACCTTTGAATCCAAAACTGCACCTGATATGGAAACAGGTCCTTGTAATTAAATGACAAAAATTAATTAGCTTTGCCAGTCATGGAAGCAATTAAAAGGCTAGTGCCCTTTCCTATTCATCCACATATGAAACCACTTACATACAGCTCACTTCCAGTTCCTGCAGCTGCTGCTAATCGCTGCATGCCAGCTATACCGCTTGCACTGCATTACAGGAGAGAGACCCAGGGGAGATGCTTCACTTGATTAGAGGAAAAAACATAGCACATTGTTTAATTGTAGATATTTTTGGGGGTCAGTGAGACCCTAAGCACATTAAAGGGCCTAGGATTATTGAAATGACACTGAAAATCTGTTTGGCTGACTTCTTTTTAATTATTCATGTTTGTTCAGTCTCTGAATATTATATACAGTACTTCAGGCACAGCTGCATGTAGAAAATGGCGTGCAAATTGCAGCTATCCATTCTGAAGGCAGATCTGATTATTTAACATCATGAACCAAATGCCTTTCATCCACTTTATTTTGGGATATTGTTTTATTCATTTGAATAGCATGATTTTTAAAAGTCATTAAATGATTAACTCTTTTAGTTCTATCTATACCAGAAAGCACATACTTTTTCAGCTTTAACCTCCATGTTTTTGTCTTGAAATGTCTGCCTGTTAGGTGGTTCAAACCCTGATATATCTAGAGGAAACTGAACAGCCCCAAAAATGCCATATAACAGTGGTCACTAAATAGCAGACCGTGGTCCATGTCCATGTTAGCAATGCCCTTACACAAGCCAGATTTATTTATTTATTGCACGTATGTATATAGCGCCGACAATTTTATGCAGTGCTTTACATAGTTGCACATTCACATCAGTCCCTGCCCTCAAGGAGCTTACAATCTAAGGTCCCCATCTCGCATAGATACAGTGCCAATTTAGACATGAGCCAATTAACCTACCAGCATGTCTTTGGAGTGTGGGAGGAAACTGGAGTACCCGGAGGAAACCCACGCAAGCACAGGGAGAACATGCAAACAGATAGGCTATGTATTGCTAGCCTTGGAAATGCTCTTGTCTCCAGAATTTTTGCAGTATTTTAGACACAGAAATAAGTGGTCTATATTTATAGTTGACAATTGCAAAGAATCTGCTTTTCCTTGTATAGCCATCAGCCACATATTTCCCCACCATCAGCTGAAATGTCAGTCATCTTAATGTAAATACTGTAATGGGTTCACACATTGTCACAATAGAAAGGTTAAGAGCAATAAAAGCAGAAAAATAGGTGATCCTAGCAGAAGGTTGTTGCTTTAAGTGCTTACAGGCTCCAGTGATGGAAATCCAGCACTGCTCATTGTAGGTGGCTCCATTGCTTGAATCTTTGAAAGCTATTTTTTCAATTCTCACTGCTAAGAGGACTTTTTTTTTTTTTTAAAGATCTGCCTATCTATGGTCCCATGTAAGCAGATCTGCCAGACATAATGGTGTGTCGTGAGAAAACCCATTGCAGTATCCTTTTCTGCAACTCTATAATAACTATTGAATGGCACCCACTGCTTTTTTTCTTTTTAGTTAACCTTTTCTCTTGTCTTAAATGTTAAAAATCCAGACTAAATCTGTAATAGTTTCAAGATGTAACACTGCAAACTGTGGAGCATTCCAAGAGGGATTTATACCTATGCAGATCACTAGAAATAATCATAAGCAATTCTTGTGTTGATCCTTATATTAGTGGCCTAATGGAGATCTACGTTGTAGACCAAAATGGCTTAATCACACATCTGCTGCATTGAGATCTCCAGTGTCTTTTTAAAAAAAAATTATCTTACCTGCCAGCCCGCAATGCTTTACGTAACAATACACTGAGCATATGCAACACAGTGTACATGCCTGGCATCTGCAAGATGCTTAAATGAAATAGCTCCCTTGCTTGCACGGGTGTTACATCATCCCAAGCCGGCCAATCAACAGGGGTAAAGGTGCTGAACCTGGAAGAAGAGAAGACAAAGATGTTAGCAGCAACTGTTTACGATAGACATTGTGACCATCAAATCGCTGGAGGGGTTTCTTTGGTAGGTAAGTCCACCATAATGTCCAAATATGTTCCATATGCAAAAACCCTGTTTGCCGACGAGGAGTGTAATTCCCCTTTATCTCCAGGTTTATGAACACCATTTTATGCAGGTATGTGGTTATTAAAAACACTGAATGTATTTTTAAAAGTAACTAGAGTGCCTGAGTTTGGTATGATATCAGCCATTTGTAGTCGCTGTACAGCAGAGCTCAGACTAGGAGGGGGAGTTGCATCACAATGGGCCAATCAGTTGTGCTGCAGTGCTCATATACTGTATCAACAAGGGGCATGTTTACAGGAGGAGACAGTAGTGTGACAGATGAGCTCATCAGTCAGCTGCTTCTCCTTCCAAAGACTGGGGTGAGTTCTAGCTGTATTACTTAACTACGGTAGAGAAGGGCTGTGTAAATCTCAGGACTGGATTGGGAGAAATATAAATGCTTTGGCATGTGAATTTAGTTTTTTGCTTGAAGCCAAGCGTCAACACAATAACAAAAATATGGAACCGCAAGCATTTAATAAAAAGTAAATACATTTAAAATGAATTCTGTGCTTACTAGAAATATTTTATACCAGTGGTAGGCAACCTTGGCACTCAGCTTTGGTGAAAAAACTAATCCTACCATGTCTGTGCCTCTGGGAGTCATGTCTGCGGTTGTCAATCTTGCCATGCTTCATGAGACATGTAGTTGCACAACAGCGGGAGTGCTGAGGTTGTCTACCCCTGCATTATACTTTCCCTTTTAAAATGTATTGACTGGAAACTTAGAAGAAGCTATATATTTTGGATGTACAACAGGTAAGAATCTAAGTTGTAGATTATTTGTATTGCTCTTATCAATTTTACTTATGGAATGTTTTAAAGAGTGTTTTGTGTGCAACTATTACTGCAAGTTTATCTGGAATGTGAGGCAAGGTAGTTGCTTTTGCTACACATAGAAAAGTCTTCCTGGGTCAAGTGAAATGAAACACATGTATAAAACATATGAAAGTTAAACTTTTCTTCATAATGTGCGTTTTTCTTTTTTTTTTCTTTAGTGTTATCATTACAACAGTACTGTACCTTTCTGATGCACTGCGGAAGAACTTTTTAAATGAGAGCTTTGACTATAAGGTATGTGTTATGTTCTACAAGTATCATACTTTTTTTTTTCAACAAAATGTAGGTTTTACTACTAGATGCAGCTGACACTAAACTCTTAAAATGCATTCAAGTACCATACCTATTAACAGAAATGTAGCTTATTTGTGCAGCATTCAGCTGTAGATCCTCAAATAATCTTTGAATTAATGCAGACACTGTCCTTTCTTCTGGAGGGTGGCTACTTTTGTTCCCCATGGTCCCTGTGTGTGTTGTAAAGTAACCACCACTTCAAGCTCACTCCCGTGATGGACTACAATCTTAATACAAATTAGTAAACAAAATGTGAGATTGTAGTCCATCACGAGAGAGAGCTTGGAGCGATGGCTACTTTATAACACACACAGGGACCAAGGGGAACAAAAGTAGCCACCCTCCAGAAGGAAGGACAGTGTCAGCACCAATTCAGAGATGACTCAAGGAGCTACAGCTGAGCGATACTCAAATAAGTAACTTTTTTTTTGTTATTAGTTAAGGTACTTGAATGCATTTAAAAAAATTAATTCCTATGTTTAGTGTCACTTTAACTATCATAGTTCTCAAGGATCAACCTACGTACAATGACAATTATTTCTTGCATACAAACATTTATTGAGGTTGGTTAAAGAAAAAATTATTCAAGGATATAAACATACAGGTATATCAGAGTGACATGTGATAGCTCACATAATTACAGTAGCACAAAATTGGTTCCCAAACCAAAAACCTAAGGGGGAGATATACAAATGGAAATACATATCCCAACCTATGATTTTTCAGATTAATAACTGGTCATCATCATCATAAGGTGCCTCTAAATTTAAAAAAAATGTCACCATTGAAATGTGCAGTAAAGTATTTTAATGTGTATGACTATGAATGTATGTTTGGTGTGATTGTTTCCTTCTGGAAAATTATGGAGAAAATAGAGTGAAAAACATTTATAGTTTTCCATTTATTGTCCATAGAATACAACAATGACCTGCCTATACCATAAATCAGTAATGGAAGGATTAACATTTTTAATTTGCCTTTTCAATTTCCGCATACAGATTTGGGATTCATACTTTTACCTTGCGGTTATTTTTATAAATCAGTCATGTCTGCAGCTGGAAATGTTTACCCCTTCCAAAATGAAAAAGGTCCTGGAAAAGTAAGTTTGTCTTACATTTATTCTTTTAGGTTTAATTGTTGCTTCTAAACACAAGAATTCAAAACTTGGTTTGTTGCCTGTTCACACCTGTTGGCCTTTTCCTACAGTAGGGTATGAACACATGCAAATTGTTTACATTTCTGAGTACACACAGTAATTGACCCTAAACCAGATTTTTTTTCTTTAGCCCGCATTACAATCACTTTATACAATCACCTTCAGGTATACTAACCTTCTTGATTGGGTCGGCCTCATGCTATATAGTTGCTGGTTAATCTAGCGATCTTGTCACTGTAGAAAACTCGCTGGCAACAAGATCACTATACAGAGCCAAGTAAAAACATACTTCCACAGATTCCACGTGTTAGTCCCTTGCTGTCCGGATGAGCAAGCTGTGGCATAGTCCCTGACAAAAACTCAGAATGTCAATTCAAAAAAATTCTTGTATTCTGCACATCCAGGCAAGCAGTCTAATTTTCTAATTTGTTATTGTCCAATAACATAATTCAATGTGCATTCAACAAAAAATGCGAGCGGTGTACTTAGTATTCTTCCGTTTTAGTACTTGTGATGTGGATGCTCTAAAAGATTTTGCTGTCACCACCACAGCAGTAAATGCTTACCATAAAATATCCTAGTGCTAAGTAAACAGGTAATTTTCTATGTAATGAAAGGGGTATAACACAAATACCTAAACCATCATAGAAGTAAAATAATTACTTATTCCCTCACAGATGTCACAGACTATAATGGATAGTGGACCCTCTATATGCACATTGGAGAGGGTGTGCGCTTCTAAAACTCTTGGGCACACCTGTGCCTATGGCAGCTGACCTGTTATAGTTAGGTTGATTGGCTGGCTGGACGGGGACTGGCTGTGTAGCTACTTTATCAATTAGCAGGTAAAATCCTGGCACACCTTTACCTCCTATTGCCGAGTCAAAGCAGGCTGTAGAAACATGGTAAGATATTACATAGCTAAAACTAGACAGAGTTGCAGATAAACTTTATTGCTGATTTGTGTCAACAGATTTTTTCCCCCATGTTTCTTTGCTCCATGGGTTGTCACCTATTTGGGTTCTCGATAATAAAATACCACCTGCCGATATTGCGCAATAGAGTTTTATTTTTTATAAACGACATTATTGAACTACAAATGCGCTCACAAAGGACAGACAATTACGGTCCTATTTATATAGGTGGCTGGTTTGTCTGGGCAGCTGGCTTATCTGCAATATTAGAGTGCAATATTAACCATAGCCCTCTCAGACTGCAGCGGCAAGTTTGAAAACTCTCAAATTCTTCTTAAAGAGTTTTCCAATTGAAGATTAACCTGCGAGGTTTGAAACGTGTTGGTGTTTATCACTTATAATGCTTTAATATAGATTCTGCTTTCTATTTAAGCCTAATATAATGTTCTTTAGTTTAGTACTTAGCTATACAGGACACTGATATTTTAAGACATTAAAGGGACTTTGAGTTTGAACTATATCACTTGCTGCTATGTGCAATTAAACATATGTTCGGCTTTTTTCTTCCTTTACGACACAAAAAAAAGCCATGGCTTGATTGGCTTTAATTATACTATAATGTAAGTGTTGTAAGAGCTCAACTTTTACTTTTGCATTTACAGTCAGAAATGTCTTTGAAGTGCATTACTAAATGTGTTTATGGATTATTATGTAAGCACTTTTAATTGCATTAATATGCAAAGTGAGCAAGAAGCATCCAGAATAGGTATTTTCCATAGTGTAGATGAGATAATATTTAGAAAACTGCATGATACATGCATTTTTGTGTTCTTACTTTCATTTCAATAGGTCTGCTTAATACGCTTACATGAACAAAAATATATTCCAAGTGTGCTAACCTGCAGACATTGACATGACGTTACCGCATAGGAATACAGAAGTATGCACAAGTGTGACTAGACCCTACAGAATATTTATGAATAACATATATTCCATTTTTGCAATGTTTGTCTATTCTCTTCAATGAAACGTGTACTCAGAAGAGACGAGAACAGCTATTTGTAGTGTTATTGACCTTAATATTCTTGCCTTTATTATCTTTCAACAACTGTGAAAGCATCTATATGTATTAATGATAGTGATCATATTTTATATATTTGTATATACACTACAGTATATCCATATGGGTTTATATACAGTTTTTAGTTTTCATCTAGAAATCTGTAAATGCATGTATTGTGTAATCCGATTTGAACATTAAATTGTCTTTCAACAGCAGAAAATGTCTCAAAATTAAAAACCAGATATAAAAACAAAGCAAAGCAGGTTAAACAGGCAATAGAACAGGTATCACCATCGTTTTTGAAACTCTAATAGGTTTAAAAAAACTTTATTAAATGCAGCTTTGAAACACCTGTGTGCATGATATCTTAAACATTTATTTCTGACCTTCCCATATGCTATCATTTGTGCATCAGCATTGTCTTTTCTAGGTATGGTGACATGCGTGTGACAATGGGCTGTGAAATCTTCAGCATGTGGCAGAATTTAGGTAGGATAATTTATAATTTTCAACATATGGTTGAGCTGCAATCTAATCATAATCATAGCTTTCGTGCACTTAAATGTCCTGTATAATAAAATTATACTCATTCTGTCCTGATTTATTAGAACTCTCTGACAGTTGTAAATGACTATTACATGCTTTGGCCAGAGGATTACCTCCCACCTGCATCTGTGCCTGACTCATTATTGCTGTTTCAGGAGTCACAAATGTTAAAAACTACATAATTCTCCAAATTCTTGTAACTGAAAAAAATGGTCTGGGGGCATTATTCGGTGCATAGAGAATGAAATGAATCAAACAGTTCAAATGGTATTTATATGATTTTTCTAGAGATACATGCACACAAGAAAAGTGGGCTTTGGAGGACAGACATTGTGTAAACGGGTGCCTGTCATATATCTAACTCTTGTCCTTTACCGCTCTATTATTGTAGCTGCAGGCAATGGAAAAAACAACAGAGTGACTTTAAGTAAAATTACATTGCAAAAATAAATGACACTTTTTTTTATAGTTCCGGGCCTCTAAAGGCAGGACCCAGACACGCACATATTTTACTGCTTACAGTCAGTTACACATTCTCATGTATGATAAAAGGTTCAAGACTGCCGTCCTCTTACATTGACATGACATCTAGGTGGGTCTGATTGCTGCTGTCCCATCTTACCCTGTGTTTTTTCTTTAGTGGAAGAGTTTGCTCTGCACTCAGTTTGCTCACCATGGGTCATTATAATTAGAACAGTACTGCCATCAAGATAAGGCAGAACTTCCCTGACTTCTCTAGTGTTGGATTTTCAGTGCACCGAAGCACTAGCACACTACCTCCTTCAGCATCTTCACCTCCAGCCCTGACAAAATTCTGAAAGAGTAGCGTATAGGGCTGTAACAACTAATCAACTAAGTCGATAATAATCAGTAATGAAAATTGTTGTCAATGATTTTCATTATCGATTAGTTGGACAGTCCATTAGTTGGGCTACTTGCAGCTCCTCTCACCCTCCCCGCCTCACCCAACTGTGTACTCACACTGATAGTCTGACATCCAGGTGGCAGGGCTGCCGGCAGACATGCCCACACCCCTCCTGGACTCGCACCAAGCACACATTCGCTTTCTCTACAGATCGGGTCATCCCAGGGAAAAGATTTGAAGAGTCCGAGCATTCAGGTGAGATGGAGGGGAACTGGGGGCACAGTGACTGCGGCCCAGGAACTGTGTTGAGCACTAATGTGGGGAGCCTGTATGAGCAAGGAGGCACGGCAGTGGCATAATAATTGGGGGGGGGGGAGCGGTATTGTGCACCATGGGGTGTACTGTGTGTGTTATGTGTACTATGTGTACTATGTGTGTTATGTGTACTTTGTGTTGTGTGTGTGTGTGTTATGTGTTGTATGTGTACTGTGTGTGTTATGTGTACTTTGGTATGTGTTGTATGTGTGCTGTGTGTAGTGTGTGTGTTGTATTTGTGTGTGTGTGTTATGTGCTGAGTGTGTGTTTTGTGCACTGTGTGTGTACTGTGTGTTATGTGTTGTATGTGTGCTGAGTGTACATGCAGTGAGTGGAGTCAGTGGTGTAACAACCAGTGTGGAGGAGGAGGAAGACAGTGGTGCTTGCCCGGGCACAAAGATGGGGACGATAGCCAGGCAGTTAACACCCTGCATGCGTTGCTGTGTGCAGCAGAGACAAATGGCGGTACACGGAGCTTCGCGTGCAGTGTGTCCAGCAAAATCCTCTCCTGCACTCAGCTGGGCGAGAGCTGAGCGTGGCGAGAGGAAGAAAATTAAATTTCTACCCAATTGGCTCACATGTATGAATTCGAGCCACGGGACGCGGATTCAAGCATGCAGCCAATAACATTCCCCCAGACAAAAGCATCTGGTGAGAGGAGTCCAGGAGAGAAGTCCACTTGGCAATGTTTTCTTTCCTGCACAAGTTCTTTCTGTGACATGTCAAGGATCTGAGCTATGCAGAAATAATGAATATGATATGTCTATTAAATAATTAATCAAAATTTAATTAATTAAATAACTAATAGTTAATAATTAAATCAATAATATTAATAATTTAGTTATTTATAATATGCTATTATTAATTAAAAAATTAAAAAAATGTTAAAAATAAATGTAACCGATTAATCGAAAAAATCATCGCCCAACTAATCAATTATGAAAATAATCGTTAGTTGCAGCCCTAGTGGCACAAAACACTTTGCTCAGGAATATAAATCTGGCCCTGACCACTTATCTATGCACCTTTTCAATGCCAGAAGGATTAATATACAGTAGGAGAAAATACCAAATCAGACCAGAAAAAAGTGCAGAGGGACATGTGGAGGAGGGGAGTTGTGTTTTGTTTCACAATTTGTTATAGTAAAAAAAAAAAAAAGGTTTTGGCTTTAGTTAGACTTTAAAGCCACCATTGCAAAACATGTGTCAGTAAAACTCTCAATGTTGTGCTCTTTCCCATGCAGTGTACCATTGTTGTACCATTTGGGGCACATAAAATAGTCCAGGGTCTGCTTTAAATTGTATTAACAATTTTGCAGCCGAATTGGTATAACATCTATTTTATATTTGTTGCATGTCCCCATTCACATAACTTTAAGAAAATATTTAAAACTCTCAGCTTACATTTTTTTTAGATGCTTTTTTATGCAAACTCCAGGACTTACAAAATTGACCCTGTCTGTACTGGCAGATTTTATTATCAATTGTAAACTAGATGAGCAGAAGGGCTAAAGATCCCAAGCCATTGTATAATGCACTTTTTAAAAACCTTCCCTTAGTCCTTATCTGCTCACTGACCCCTAGTCTAACCACTAGATTCTGTCTGTAGTGTCCTATGTATTTCCCTGCTACAAACAGACAGCTAGAAAGGTAAGACATATTTTTTAATATTTTAGGTATGCTGTGTGAATGGGAACACAAAAAGCACACAGTGGGGGGTTTCTCAAATGTGGCTGTAAAAGTATATGAGAGAAGACATCCAATGAATGGCCCAACATTGCCCCTAACTATTTATAAGCTTGTGTAAATCATTCACAAAAACATTAATATCTTTGTCCTGCATTCTGTCTTCTGGGATCGGGGAAGCTGGATGAAAAAATTGACATTGGTTAGTAGCATAGAAACATTTTTCCAAGAAGAGCATATAAAAGATAGAGGCTTCTCCAACCAGGACAGGAAACATGTCATAAAGGCGTTTCTTCTGACATCCCTTTCAGTTTGATTGTGAAACTTGTGAAGCAAGACTGTGTTCTCTTGGCCAATAGTTGCCCTCATTTTATTTCTTACTCCCCTTTCAGCCCTTCATTTCTAGGTTTTGGGGTTTCTTTATTATTGTCTACTTCCACCCTCCAAACCCTCTAATTGTACAGGTGGGGGGGGGGGTCTTGTTTTCCTCTGCTGCATGTTCCAGGGGCAGGCTCTTCCCTAGATGGACTTACCTCTCTTGCAGGTACCTCCTGTCGGTTGTAAGCAGTGGCCATGATTTGGTTTCCTGTCCTCCACCAGGTATACTGGAAGAAGAGTGTGCAACATTGTGGTGGTGGGGAGAATGCTTTTTTCTCCCTCTGGAGCTGCGAACAGTTGACCAGATTATACTGGTCGGCACTTCTGGGTCAGGATGCCATCAGTTTTGGCGCCTTGAGTTCGAAAGCCGATTTGAAACAGGGGAAAAGGATAGGGCTTTGTTAGTTGCCTTCGGCTGACCTTTCAGCTAAAGGTGCCATTGCTGGATTGGGGCATACTGCATCCTCATGGATACCTCTGGACAGACAGCAACTCTGGCAGAGACCAGTCGCAAACGGCACCGGCTCATCACTGGTAATCCTTAAAGTGACATTAAACCCTCAGATTTTTTAACATAAACCAATACTGTAATGTGTGCCTTACTGTAATCCATGGTAGTTTCCCTTCTCTTTGCTGCTCTTCCTTTTAAATCCTCATGTCTTCTCATGCTGGGGAGAACTTCCCTTTTCAGCTCAGGGCCTCTTCCTGTAGTGCTGGCTCAGGTTACAAGCCTATACACAGACACCGTGTATCCATTCCTGAGACAAGGCAGTCTGCTGCAAAACAGAAGTTCTGCAGAGCATGAGAACAGATACAGATTTAAAAGGAAGAGCAGCAAAGAGAAGGGAAACAACCATGGATTACAGTAAGGCGCACATTACAGTATTGTTTTATGTTAAAAAATCTGAGGGTTTAATGTCACTTTAAGGTTGTTTGGTCCTTTCTTGCTACCAAGATATTTCTGATTTTGACATCAGTCCAGAGCACCTGCTGCCATTTTCTTGCGGCCAAAAAGCCATACCTCCGACGTGGAAACAAGAGTAAGTGTATGCATGAAAACATAGCAACTGCGGTGCAGAAAAATGGCAGCAGGTGCACCCTGGTCTGATGAGTCAACATTTTAACCATTTGGCTGTAGCAGGATGCAGTTTGTTTGCCAAAGGGCTGGAGAGCAGTACAACGAGTGTCTGCAGCGACAGTGAGGGATAGTGGAGGTTCCTTGGAAGTCTGAGGCTGCATTTCTACCAATGGAGTTGGAGATTTGGTGAGCATCAATGGTGTCCTCAATGCTGAGAAATACAAGCAGATACTTATCCATAATGCCATACCATCAGGGAGGTGTGTGATTGGCCTCAATTTTATTCTGCAGCAGGATAACGACCCCAAACATACAGCCAGTGTCATTAAGAACTATCTTTAGCGTTAAGAAGAACAAGAAGCCCTGGAAGTGATGGTTTGGCCTTCAGAGAGCCCTAATCTCAGCATCATTGAGTCCTGTCTGGGAGTACATAAAGAGACAGAAGGATTTTAGGCAGCCTACTTCCACAGAAGATCTGTGGTTAGTTCTCCAAGATGTTTGGAAAAACCTTCCTGCCGAGTTCCGTCAAAAACTGTGTGCAAGTGTACCTAGAAGAATTTATGCTGTTTTGAAGCAATGGGTGGCCACACCAAATATTGATTTGATTTGGATTTCTCTTCTTTTCTAAGTCCAGGGAAGTCAATTTATTATTCCATAATAAAGTTCAATGTATACATTCATGACTTTATCCTAAAGGATCCAGTTCCACTGTTAGGCCGTAGTGTTGACAAAACTTTGCCACAATCGTAAAGTAGCCAGCGATCCAAGCTCGCTGCTATGCTGGACTACCGGGAGAGTGTTTGGTTGCGGTGGCTACTTTACAACACACACAGGGACCATGGGGAACAAAAGTAGCCACCCTCCAGAAGGAAGGACAGTCTGCACCAATTCAGAGGAGATTCAAGGATCTACAGCGAGTGATGCATAAATAAGATACATTTTTTGTTAATAGTTAAGGTAATTTAATGCATTTTTAAGATTTAACTCCTGAGTTTAGTGTCACTTTAATGTTGTTAGTATGACAATAATGATGATTTTTTTTGTTGGTATGCCTTAATATAGATTTGGTTTATTGCAACACCAGCTCTAATACTTGAGTTAGGACACCATTAAAGCAAAAGTTTCAGGTGGTACAGTGATAAATTACACGTGTACATAATATCTTAAAGCCATCTTTATTATTACACAGCGTATAACAAATTCCCATTAAACACAAGGGAGCTTGGATTTGAAAGATACTCCATGTTTACATGCTATACAAGCCGCAGATTATTGAAGGTGGCACTGTTATCCTGTTTTCTGTGACCTCTTATGTTCTTTCACAGGGGAACACAAGTTGCACTTTATCCCAGCCTTAATCGGTCCGTTTTTAGAGGTAACTCTAATACCTCAGCCAGACTTGCGAAATGTTATGATCCCCATTTTTCATGACATGATGGACTGGGAGCAGAGAAGAAGCGGCAACTTTAAACAGGTACTTACAATTAGAAGTATATAGCATTTTGTTTTAAAACTAATTTTTATTTTATAATGTTGAAAGCTTGATCTTCTGAAACTGGAATCTACTAGGTGACTATAAAGAGATATAGGAAAAATAACCTGCATTAGCTGATTCTAAGGCTTGATTTGTGTTATATGGCTGGTATTGACCATGTGAGAACTTACATTCACTGTAGTTTTTTTAAATAAAACTTTTATCAAACTTGTGACTATTCTAAACTTTTGGTTATTCTTGGCAATTCAAGAGAGCCTGAAGCACATGGGGTTACTGACCTCCATCCATCATGAAGCCTTGTGCTATTCACAAGGCTGTCTGAGTCAATGCAGCATAACAGATGGATTCAGGATTGATGCAAAATATAGTACAAATGTAAAAAAAAATGTTTTTTAAATGTTGTACTGCCAGTAATGATCACTAATTACATCCATCATAGGGTCAGTAGTCCTTTGTTTTAGATTTGCTTTGATTGCTGCAGGTTCCACAGCAGAGGATTTGGCAGATGCTCATTATGAAGTGTTTGTGTGGCCAGTCAATTCACCAGTTACACTCTACTAAAATGTATCAGTTTGCAAACAGTTCAAAAAAGTACTTTCCAAGATCTACACCCAGGTGATCTGAGACCTCACCCCCAATGTAGTCAAGTACATATACATAAACAACAAAAGTTGTGGTGGGGTTTTCTTAAGAGAGGACTCAGAAGGTTAGAAAATCATATAAATTTATTCAATTCATAAAAATTATTTTTCCATGATGAAAATTAAAATCGAAGTTAATATATATACATGATTATCGAATCCCTACATTTCTTGCATATAGATCATACCTAATACATTGTCCATTTCCTAATGTCAATCATTTATCCATCATTATATTACATATACATAGTTGTGCCGCTCCATTGATCCCCTACGCGTTTCACATATGAGCTTCTTCAGGGGGTTCTATTCTCGGCAAAAAATCCGGGGATTAAAGGTCATGTAGGGATCCAATTCCAGGAGGACAGGACCAGTTCCAGTCACCCCCAGCAAGTCCGAGTAGCGGAGCCACAGATGCAAAAACGGGTCCAGCAGGAATTGTTTATCTTCAAAATCTTTACAAAAGATTCTCCTCGAAATTCATCCGTTTATTCTTATTGTCTCCTCTCTGTGTCCTCCCCTCCTGTATGTGACTCTCGCTTATAAGTGTGCCAGAGACTGAGTGAGAGGCACACGTGTAAGCGAGAGACACATACAGGAGAGGAGGACACAGAGAGGAGACAATAAGAATAAACAGGTGAATTTCGAGGAGGAGAATCTTTTGTATAGATTTTGAAGATAAAAAATTCCTGCTGGACCCGTTTTTGCATCTGTGGCTCCGCTACTCTGACTTTCTGGGGGTGACTGGAACTGGTCCTGTCCTCCTGGAATTGGATCCCTACATGACCTCTGATCCCTGATTGCCGAGAATAGAACCCCCTGAAGAAGCTCATATGTGAAACGCGTAGGGGATCAATGGAGCGGCACAACTATGTATATGTAATATAATGATGGATAAATGATTGATATTAGGAAATGGACAATTATATATGATCTATATGCAAGAAATGTAGGGATTGGATAATCATGTATATATATATTAACTTTGATTTTAATTTTCATCATGGAAAAAAAAAATTATGAATTGAATACATTTATACGATTTTCTAACCTTCTGAGTCCTCTCTTAAGAAAACCCCACCACAACTTTTGTTGTTTATGTATATGTATTTGACCAGTTTGCAAACAGGGTGAACATGCATGTATTGTGTATAATCAGTTTTTTAGACTGTGGTCAGAGATATCATGTCTGATAAAAGTTTTAATGAATTTATTTAGGCCAAATGTTCTTGACACACCAGTACATTTCCTATTTTCCAGCTCAGAGAATTGCTAAGTGTTCCAAGTACTTTTGCAGCTCCCACTCGATTTTTCTCCTGCTGTCTCAGACCATTTCTGTACACCCACCATCATGCTGCTCCATAGGAACATCAATTTGAAACATTGTTTAACGCACACAGAATAAATGACTTTGATTTCTGTGCAGGAGCAATGTCATTAACCCTTAGGCTGATGTTCTTTAGTCTACTTGATATTGGAACAATTGCACTATACTATGCAAAGGATGTAATTTTTGGATGCTCAGAATAACTTGTATTCATTCACTAATTCTGTGATTGATGGAACACTACCATTTTAATGGACCCCATGTTTATTTCACCATTTTCTGCATGCAGTAAAGGAGTGATTTCTTTGTTGCTTGGTTTGCTATATTGCAATGAATTGGAAGTATAAATGCATAGTTTCTGTAAATCAATGTGTTTTTATACTTCCAGAATACAATATGTTGTTGTTTGCTCCTTCAGAGCAATTTTTAAGCATAGACTGCAACTACGAACTAACCAACTGATAGATTATTCAAAATCTTCCTCATCAACATTTATATTTTCTAATTCAATAAAATCCCTATTCATGTCCAGCCCATTTTCTAAATTAAATGTCTAAAGTTATGGCTGTATGGGTCAGGTAAATTAGATTACTGACAAAGGTGTGTCTAGAAATGAATCTGTGCTGTACTTTCCATAATTCTGGAACAGCATTAAAGCGGAGCTGTACTTTAACTTTAGTAGAGCTGTATTTACAGTCTTGTTCATGTGGATATATCAAGAATAACAGATGGTCAGAATACTTGCTATTCTTAATGAGAATGCAATACTATTTAATGAGAATACAAACAGTCTATTTTCTTTGCTGTGAGCAGAAGCTTAAAGCCTTTTTCCAGAAAAAAAAAAAACCCTCACTCTGCAAGGGGTAACTGTTAGATAATGTTTATGGGAGCTGGGTAAACAACTTTTACCTACCTGATCCTTGCTCGCACCGGCTCCTTGACCAGTGCCCGCAGCCTCTCCTCCCTTTGCTCTGGAGGTTAGAGGTCCCACGACCATAGCCCTGCATTATTTGTGTAGACGGCAAGGCACAGTCCACAAGCCAGAGCTTACAAGGGATAAAGTGAGCGCCAACTGCCAGGGGAGCAACATATACATAAAAGTCCTTTACACTGGTTCCCTAGACATTAATGAGCAGTTAATCTTTGCAGTGTTGGAGTAGCCCCACTGCAAGGGGATTTTTGTCTCCCAATAGATAGACTTTAAGCCTTTCATCATATTGCCTCTACTGAAGGCTAGAATCATAATTCTGATTAGATAATAATTGATGTGAACAGATCACACAACCAAATGCCTAGGCTTTCATTCACTTAAAGAGCGTAGCAGAGAAACTGGAGCAGTATTTTCTGCAGGAATTGTTTTACTTTTTTTCCCTACCCAAAAAGGCTGATAACATAATTTATGTTGGCATTTGAGTGTAGACTCTGAGCTTAGATTATTAGTAGAATATTAATACTTATGTTCTTCCATTAATACCATTTAACATTTTTATATAACATTTTCATCAGGTAATACTGAATTATGGTATTAACACTGCTTGCCTCTAATATGGGTTAAATATTCCTAATGGGTATTACATAATATATAACACTCTATTCCCAATATAGCTACTCAGCCTATAGTTGTATAACAGTGATCCTGAACTTAGAACAGTTATTTTTTAACAAGCGAGTAGCAAGTGTAGCATTGAATGCAATATAGATCCAGGTTGCAAAAAAAAGTTATTTCATTTATTTACTGTATTTATAAATGCTCTGTATTGCACTATTTGAACTTGCTTATGTTAAAAGTAGCTTTATTGGCACATCCAAAGTGTGGAACGCTGTAACTTTTTTTTAAATTTAGTTAAAGAAAAAAAAAAGAGTTATGAACAATACAAAGAAAGATATAGCTAAAAAATAGATATATAGATTTTTTTATATTATCAGAAAACATTGTAACTACCCCGGAATGTTGTTACTGATGAGAGCCTTAATGTCTGCCCTTATCTTATATCTCATTGTATGCAGTTTTGAACAAGTAAATATATCAGTGCTTTCAGTTGTTTAATTGCATATAAAATCACCTTTCACTGATCTGGTTTCTTTGCTTGAACAAAAAAGCCTGTAATTGTATCTCTGACACGAAGACACGCTGAACCTAAAAACATTGATCTGTCCTATGTTCTTATAACATGCTTTGTTTTTTATTGATGTAGGTATGTATAATGCTACAGAAACTGGGTAAAGGTTTCCAAACTCCAGTAATGAAGGAGTGTGTCAGAATATGTCTTGCATGAAATGAAACCCTGCAGAAAAAATTAAGGCAATTTAGCTGGGCTGCACTTTTTTTGTGTGTGAATCCATATATAGCAGGCTGCGTTAGCAGCAGTATCAGCTCCTGCTACTCAGCCTGTAGTTTAAAGCCACACTGTTCTATGACAGTGATCCCTGAGAACGGTCTTGTGGATCTGTGGCAGCTTAACACGGGTGACAGTGTGACCTATGACAACCCAGTGATGAATTCTGATTAGCTAAGCACACAGAGGGAGCTAAGCCTGGGAGGAATTCCTGTACAATAAAACAAAGCACCTTTTATGTATCTCTTTGAGGTTGAAGCAAAGCTAATTGACAAATTGGACAGCCTAATGTCTGAAGGAAGAGGTGATGAAACCTACCGGGAGCTCTTCAACAGTATGTAAGTAATCTTGAACATTTTATTCACTGGAATTTTTATACTTGGAGCTGGTGAACTAAACATGCCAATGTTATATTACTGCTCAGTCTGATTATTGTATGGCTCATATTTCTAAATGTAACTACAGTATCTAGAGGGGCTGCTAATGCAGGATCTGTTAGGTTGTAGTTGATTGATGAAAGAGAATTAGAAGGTTGTGTGTGGGTGGTGAGTTGGCGTGTTGTGTTTACTGGAGAAGGTATAAAAGGTACCAGACAGATGCTTCATTAAATGCTTTTTTCTGTGTTGGTTTAAATTGCCAAGAAATATGCTGTTTGTCATCACTTCTGTGTGTTACCAATTAATTTGTTGTTTTTAGCTGTATGAACTGTGTGAGTGTGCCTGTGTGTAGTATTTACTACGTGCATTTTAATCATAACCCAGTTGTGCTTTTTTGTACAAACCAGAATTTCTTGTATGCGTATGGTATTTCTTACTGCTGTTCTAGTTCAGGCTTCAGATAGGAGAATGCCTGTGAGGGATGCTGTATCCCTGTACTCTCTATGCATGATGCTTCTGGCATCCTCTAATTAACACCATATAAAGCTGATGTTAATCTTCAATAAAATACTTGATTATTGCTTTTAAAGTGCTACAACCTTCTAGGTGATTGCAGACCTGCCAGCACTCTTCAGTGCAAATTTATTCTAAATTTAGATTAAGTGAAAGTGGATTATGTTTATTAAATGAAATGTGCTTTTATTTTTTAACCTACATAGGAAATTTAACCTGAATTCAAAATCTGCTGTTTTTTAATTCTAATTTATCAGCCTTGTTGCTTGCATTGCCCTGCATCTTGCTGATGAACTGAGGATTAGAACATCAAAAATATCAGAGGTTTTCAGTGATGAACTCAGAGGCATGGAAATTTTGTGTCTTATAATGTCTTTAAGTTTGGGAAGGAGGAAGTAAGCTTTAAATTAATTATATGCAGCAGTATTATATACTACTTTTTGTTCAAGTAAGTTATATTCATTTATAGCCACCATGTATTTATTTACTGCTAGCGTGTGTACAAGTAATAATAGGCACAGCCACAGTATTTACGTTAATGACTATTTAGGGGTAAGTCCAACGCTGATCTAATGATGGGCAGCTCTTTGAGGCCTGTTCACGAAACCAGCTCTTAATGTGGTTATGTGGGCAGCAGTTGGCAGTAGTAAATTTAGTGCAGCTGCCACCTGTGGTAAAATCTTGTAAAGAAGGAAAGGAGTGATGGCTTCTGTAATTGTTTGGTTAATCCAGATGCGTGCTGCAGCCTGTAAAATAGCATCTATTACTTACGGAGTCTATATTCACATTTAATTTTCCATTAAACAGGTCATGAACTTAAAATATATGCTAACCTTTATAAAATAATAATAGTGCTGTTAACAGCAACAATGATCTATGTCAAAGTTCCAATGCCTGCACATAACATACCTTGCAAAATTAACCAGGCCCGATTCACTAATTTTATTTAATTCCTGAATCTGACGCTGGTAATTTGCATGGTATCCTGTATTAGAACAAGTCTGAAAAAAATGTAACAAATACAATGTGCCGTTTTTACAAGACGTTAATAGTTGTGTTATGGAAGTTCTTTGTTTACCCCAGGGGAAAAAAAAACGGAGGAAGCAATAGCAGCTTTAGGTGTAATGGCTGGTGCTCTCCCATTACTTGAGTAATGTGGTAGGTTGCCCCCACCATTCCCCTGATGTAGTACTGCCGTGCCTTAACGCTATGTCCCCAATCAAAGATCTAGATAAGTTTATCACCGCTGAGGTAATTTTTGTAGAACAGTAGCAACTCTCAGTTCCTCCTGCTGTGTAGTTGAATAAATAGTACTTTCCTCAGGAGATGTGACTGCTCAAAACTGGCTTTTGATAAGAGGAATTGGATACCAAAGCAGGGCAAGGCTTTTAAACTGGGGGTGAGATATCATTGTGATTAAGAAATAGATCTCTTTCAGTTGGCCACCACCATTACATTATTAAAATAATTGCCACAATTTGTGGTAAAAAAAAAACCCTACGTGGAATTTCTGTAACGAGGGAATATCAACATCAGCTGTGAAAAAAAGTCTAAAGAGAAATAAAAATAAATAAATAAATGCAACTGCTTAAACTAGGGAAATGGTACAAAACAAAGAGACATCCAAACACTTAGTCGTATATTTATAGTAGTGAATCTGACATTCTAAACATTCACTGCAGGTACATTTTCCAGATGCATGTGTTTTGAATGACAATGATTCAACAACAGTAAATGTATGGTGAAAGTCATTTTCATGCTTTATAAATATGCCCCTAAGTTTTTTTCGATGTCCCTTTGGGCTATTGTAGTACAGTTATGAGGAAATTAAAGCTATATCAAACCACCTAGAAGCTTGGAAAGGTTGTCCTTCATAAATCTATCTGCAACTACAAACTTGTGAGAGAATTTACAGAGACCAACCATCATTTTGAACGGAATTCTCTGAGTCTGGAGTAAAAGTGCACATCCCAACAATAGCACAACTCCCCTCCCCAGCCCCCCTATCATTTAACTGACAAGACATTAAGGGGGTGATTTACTAACCTAAACACACGCACGCACCTGGTGCGTATGATTTTTACACAGCAAAATGTATTTATCAACCAAAAAGTCTCTAAAAGCATATTTCCACTAATGCCATATATGGAAAAATCATGCACATGATGCATATATAATGCTGCTTCACAGTTTAGACAAAAATGGTTAGCTCATGCATTTACATTCCTGCATTCATCAGCGCAAGCAACACAACATAGAGCTAATTTACACAACATCACCTTGCAATTCATGCTTGGCTTTGCACAACACACCTGCTGGGTGTGTACACACTACAAAGGTGTTTAGATTACACCCATAGATCATGCTGGGAGGAAACACACTACAGAGGTGTATACATGTTCGTGGTGTGTTTATAAGGTTAGTAAATCAACCCCTAAGACTCACTAAGTGCTAAAAATAAAATAGAAATTTTGAAAATGTATAAAGCTGTCTTAGTCTTCTTCCAGGTCAACCCCAGGCCAGACCCCGCAACTATATTAAATTAAAATGTTGTAATTGTATTTATTTAACAAATTGGGTGTGGGTCAAAATCAAGCAAATGATTGAGGCATTTTATTTAGAAATGATGGGAAAATCACTTTTTTGATTAATGATAATTAGGAATTAAGAAAACAAAGGTAGACTGTTCCCATAGAAGCCCATGTGGCTGTAATGTGCCTGCACGGCCAGAAGAGAGAGGATTTGGAGCGTGGGATGTAAATAAACAATGGAGGTCTCAACAATCAGATCCCAGTAATTATATATCAGTGGAGGGGAAGGGTGGGATCAGTTAGCTAAAGTAAAAGGGGCAAAATGGTAAGTATTCCTTGTTTTAAAGTATAACATAGAAAAAAAAATTCTGCATTATTACCCCTTAGCTTCATCTTAATTGCAGGGAAAGTGCCCCTGTGCATGAAGGCCACATGCATGAGGAAACACATGACTGTGCACGAAAGAGCTGTGTGAGACCTCACTGTTACTGGTCGGCAGCAAAAGCCTAGCACTCGGTGTGAGAACAAGGTTCTTGAGCACCCAAGATAAAAAGGCCAGAGTGTGCACACCTCCATGAGCTGTGAACTTCCATGATACAAGGTTAAAGTCTTGGGGGATCTACTGCAACCATGCAAGAGGAAGCCCAAAATGCTCCACCCTGAGGAGACAGTGCAAAGAAACTCTTGGCCACATCTGCTCAAAGTGGCTGGATCTCCCACACTGGAGGCATAGCTGCAGGGGGAAATTCTACTGCCAAAGGCGGCCTGCCCTTCTACAACACAGCAGAAAATTGAATAGGAAATTGTGCTGGTGCTTAAGAGGAAGAGTACTGAGGTGGTTAAGAGGAGGAGGATTTGTTTTTTGGGGGGGTAGTTTCATGTGAGACATTCCACGCCTTCTATCCAAGGGGGGAATCCTACAGGGATCTATGCCACCATGCAAACACAAAGTGCCCAACTCCAAGATAGTATAGGAAAGGAACTGTTTGCCGCATCTCCTGATGGTGGCTGGATCCACTGTTGAAGGCTTGGGTGAAAGTAGAACATCTGTTGGGAAAAGGCTGTATGCTCTCCCACTAGTTTGCCATGGTTTCACATAAATGTTCTGAAGCAGGCTACCCTTTGTTTGAAGCATGGCACCACCCCATTCTGCACGACAGAGGTGTGCTCCAAAGCACACCTTCTTTAATGCCCTGTATTTGCCATAGCTGCCATTACATATGTTACATGCTTGACTCCACTGCATCGGAGGTATAGCTTCAGGGGGTAGAAACAAAGGGCATAGGCTGGCCAACCTTACACAATATGGCTTTGGTTGTGCCACTTGTTTAGTTTTTAATTGTAAGGCCATCCCTCCCCAGTTGATGGAAACGTGGGCAGAGCCGGCAATGTAACCTGGGAGCGATCTTTAAAAAAAAGTCCTAGGCCTAAACACCACCTTGTCCCTATGCACAGTTTTGAAATAGGGTGTTCCTAACAAGATAATGCTGCCTGCTCAGACACTTACCTCACAAAGGTGATGGTTTCAAGGAAACAGAACTTGTAGGCGAGTAAAGAAGTAGGAATGTCTCTAATGGTAAAAAATAAAATAAAATAAATAAATGTTTGTGAAGCATGGACAGAACCAGATTAGGGCTTCTTATTCAAGTAGTGAATGAGTGAAGCCAAGCACTGGTCCAGACCCACCTATTCTCCTTCCTGCCAACAATAATTTTTTGTTATTTTTTACTAAGAAAATATTGCTATTTAAAATTCTTATTATGAAACGTGCTGTAATAAGATGCTTACAAGCAATCACATTCATTGGGGGGAATTTATCAATTGTGAGTGTTTGAACTTGCAGAGAATATATTTGCACCAGATTTATGTTGCTAGTGTAATGTTGATAAATGAGGTTTAATAGACTCCAGGAAAGAA